TGCCGGTTGTGACTTCGTCGCTGTTCCGCTACGCCATTGATGTTAACGTTTAGAAGCTATTTGTAATTTGCAGAAATAAACCCGATGTGTGCTCTTCTCGGGGTTTCTTCAAAAATTCATGTCTGAGCTTGTTAATTTGCTGCAGGCAGGAGCTTGTTCCTTGTGCACCGAAACGCTTCATTTTATGTAGTGTTTGTGGTAGCAAAAGGCTGAAAACTACCCCTAGTTTGCAGGATCTAAACTGGCTGGCTGGGCGAGCAGAGATAACTGTCTACTTTGAACGTGAGAAGAATCCCTTTTTATAAATAAAACCCAGTGGGATTTTTAACGTACGTGCCGAGCAATTGAGAATGGTGAGGTGACTCCAGCAGCCAATATACGCGTTGGACGTGATGCCTCCGTAGTGTTATTCAGAACAAAGCCCCTGTTGCTCCTGTTGTAATACTCTTTACTTTTTCCTTTTTCTAGAGTGAGGCAGAAGTGAATCCCAAAGCTTACCCCCTGGCTGATGCACAGCTCACCAAAACGCTGCTGGATCTTGTGCAGCAATCCTGCAACTACAAGCAGCTCCGTAAGGGAGCTAATGAAGGTGAGACCTGTGTGTTGTGAAGTGCGCTAGAAATCATAGCGAGGATTTTGTGAGCAGCTGTGGCTAGAAATTGGAATTGGCTTTTCTCCAGCAGTGGGCCACTAATGTTACAGAGATCTGGACACTGCAAGTGTCCTTCTCCTCCTTCCTTCTAGCCTGTGATGTTCAGGAGCAGAACTAAGCTGTAATCTTTTCAGCATTTATATACAGTTCTGGTAAATGCCCAGACTGCGTTCCTGGTGCATGTCCTGTGATCATGCATACTTCAGTGGTGCGGTACTGGGATTACCAGATGCCTAGCCAATTTAGAATCATAAAAAGATCTGGGTTTGAGGGGAGCTCTGGAGGTCTCTAGTGCAACCTCCTCAGAGAATGGCTCCCTTCACAGTTGGAGCAGGTTGCTCAGGGCTTTGCCTAGTCAAACTTTTAAAAAACCCCAATCCCTAAGGATAGAAACTCCACATTCTCTCAAGATCCATGTCCCATGCCTTAAACCCCTCTCATAAGGGGGTGAGGGAACTATAAAATTCCAGCATGTCCCCGGAATCTTCCTGAGGCAACAGTCACAGTCTGCAACCTGTGCACTCACGAGGACAGCCTGGCTCCAACTTCTCTGCAATCCCCTTGAAGTAGTAGAAGACAGCAGCCGCATCCTCCCCACTCCCTCCTCGGTCCTCTCTTCTCCAAGCTAAAGAAACCCAGCTCCCTCAGTCCCCCCTCATCTGGGGTGCCTCCCAGCCCCCTACCCGTCGGCAGCCCTGGGCTGGCCTCGCTTCCCTGTGAACCTCTCCATCTCCTGAAGTTGTTTTTCATTAGGTGTGCTTTCTGGAAGGACCTGGACTTACTCTTCAGGTTTTTTTACAGCCACCAAGACACTGAACCGAGGGATAGCAGAGTTCATTGTGATGGCGGCAGATGCAGAGCCCTTGGAGATCATCCTGCACCTCCCTCTCCTCTGCGAGGACAAGAACGTACCTTATGTGTTTGTGCGCTCCAAGCAAGCCCTGGGCCGGGCGTGTGGCGTTTCCCGGCCTGTCATCGCCTGCTCCATCACCATCAAGGAGGGATCACAGCTAAAGCCTCAGATCCAGTCTGTTCAGCAAGCTATAGAAAGACTGTTGGTCTAAATGGCCATGAGTTTTAAGTGTGTGTGGAATAGGAAAGTTGAAGTCAGGGGGAATTAATGTCTAGCTTCAGTTGATTATAGTTTTGATACCAGTGTTTCATTTCAAAACACGACATTTTTGTTTAATAATGGCTTAATTCTTAGTGTTTCAGCCTCTCCTCCCCCCTCTTTTCTATTATCCCACTCCAACACATTCATTTTCATTGTATTACTTCTCAAAAAGTGATTGTACAACTGTATTTCCTGTTTGATGTTTAAAAAAAAAAAGGAAAAACAAACAAACAAAACCAACACCCCCCCCCCTTACCTCCATGTTTGCCTGCTCAGGGCTTTTTTTTAACCCACCCAGGAGCTTCCTCTGCATTGCAGTATTTCTGCTAAGCTTCAGCCTCCACCAGCTGTGAGTAACTCTGTGTTTCGGAATGGTTTTGTCTACTGCAGATAAGGTGGGTCAGTTCCCTGCACAGCGTGTGCGCGTAGGCTGCTGGAGTTGTTGCTTTAAGTGACGGAGCAGCATAGACCCACATATAAGGCAGGCAGCGGCTACTGCGAGTAGCGGACGGAGCCAAGATGAGTACACATAGCACAACCCTTCTCCTTGAAACCAGACCAGAGACTTCTGTAAGAGGTGTACGGGGAGCAGAAATCTTGTGGCAATGCACAAGGGGAAATCTCTTCTCTTACTTATTTTTAAATACTGACTTTTTAAGAAAAATAAAATTGCTGACAAAGCTAAATATAATTGTCATTCCCTCGTGGAAGCATTTGCAATTAACTGAAGTGTTCCTGCCTGTAAAGCTAAACTCAGAGATTGCTTACAGGCTATTGCAGCGCAGTAGTTTGTACTCCTTCAGGTTTTTTTCCGTGGACTGTATCAATGAGCTTGGGCTTCCTAGGGAATTTACAAAACGTGGTAGAGAGTAGCCTGTGGTGGCTGGCAAATACCCTACATTTGGCTGATAATTATAAAAAGATTCTCATGCTTTTAGGGAAGCTACTGTACTGCAGTCACTTGACTGAAGATGAGCCCTGTAAGTCATGGCCAAGACAACGGAAAGCAAGTAATTTTCAGAGAAATCAACCTGTGTCTGAAGAAGAGAATGCTAGATAATCTTGTGTTCTGGAAAAGCGTGAAGCACCACCAGCATTCTGGATTAGCGGTGGTTTTATGGAGCTAGCTTTAGTTAAATGCATATTGTATAATAAATCCGCTCACTGCTCTGAGCAGAAGAGTCTACACCTCTGTGTTGGAATGGGTCGTATCAAACCTGTCTTCTATTGCAGGACGCCAAAGCAAAGCTAGCGTGGAAAGACCCAATAGGTACAATAGCAGAAGGGAAAACCAGTTCTCCTGTTAATATTTCCACGGAGGCACTAGCTTCATACCTTCAGTAAGTACATCCCAAGCAGATGAAATCAGCTCGTAAAGTCTGAAGACAAATAATGTCTGTGTATTTTTGAAAGTGGCCAATAACAGTAATATCCTTGCTGAGGTGAACTTAATACAAAGATTTTGGAATCCCTTCATTTGTATGAGGTTTAGAAAAGCTGCTGTTCCCTTCGTCTGATGCTGACTGTTGAGCTAGTTGTGTTTAAAACCACAACTTTGCAAAGGATTTGCCCTACTGTACCATGCCAAGATAGCTGATGTAAGACAAAGCACTTAAGGAGCAGAAATAAAGGATTCTTGAGCAAGCAAAACTGTCTCACTTTCTGCTCTGAAGCCTTCCATCCCCATCCCTTTTAAACTTCTGCTTAATGCGATGGCCCGCTATTAAAAAAAGAAAAAGCCAGCAGGAAGATCTAATAACTTAGAACAAACATGCCACAATCATCCAAAGCCTGGCCCATGCTGTGCCAAGAGAGAAGTTCACGAGGGCATTTGGGGAATGAAGATTCACAGAATTAAGGACAGGATAGTCTCACTGTTTTATTGGTGGTCGTCTTGCTAAGATGAGCATTTACAGAAACTTCTTTGCCAAAGGGCAAAATAAATGGATTGCTTAGACAAATCTTTATTAAAAATAACTACTATAATGCAGGCTGATTGAAAGTATAATTGAGTACGTAGCTTCAGTACTGCAGAGCTCAATGTGGGCTAGCTGCTTTTCCGAGAGGAGCTGTGGAGGTGGAAGTGAGCAGCGTGCTGGCACAGCTAGGGTGGTCACACAGTGCCAAGACAGTGGTCAGAGCTGGCTCCGATACATGTGCCACATGTATATCACACGTATGACTTAATTCTTCAGTAAGTTGCCTGATAGTTTGTGTGCCAAACATAAGAATCCCTGAACGCTTAAAACACCACGCAGACCAAAATGGACACCTCACGTATCCCATGTTTGCATCCCGTAGAAAGCTACAGTTTAGCTAAACTGTGAGTACTGTTTCCTCGAGCAAGGGCAATGACTATTTATTGGTTTTAGTCATCCTGCACTAAAAGACAGGTGGGGCATGCCAAGGGTAGAAGTTTGAAAACCAAAACATAGCCCCAGATGCAGCCTCCATAAGTATGATTAAAAAAAAATAAAAATACCGGATGTAACAAAGGCTACTCTCCAAACTTGCCATTTTTCTATTTTTAAAGCACAGATGTGAGTACAGAAGACTGCACGACACCCTGACTCATACTCGCTACAGAGGTGGAAAAGCTCTATGCCATCTCAGTAATTTAACTGGGGTAATTGCTTGCAGCCTTCCAGGGAACATGATGGGTTTTTTTTCCCCTCTTTTGAACCAGCTTTTGTTATTACCATTTAAAAATGGAAGACCTGGCTGTGCAGCTTTCTGCAGTGCTGGCTTTTTGCCCAAAGGATTGGCTACTGCTTCCCAGTAACGATTTTGTCCTTTATGATCTGCTGGTAATCTTTATAACACCGATGGTGGAAAAGAACCCAATTTGATTACAAGTACTGATACTGACTGGTGGTTTTGGAGAGTAGGAGAGTGATATACCGCATTTATACCCTCTGTTTGCACACAAACTTGACCTGCTGCTTGAACTCACGTGGTGCTACTAACACAGATCATTCTGTTTTCTTACTCACATTGAAGTGAGTTTGGCTGTGTTGATGGTGCAAAGATGGTACAGGCAGTGTTGCAAAGCACGAAGTCCAAAATAAGTTTTATTAAGAAACCAGGAAGGCACAACTGTGTTCCCTTGCAGTGGGTGACCTGAGTTAGCAGCAAATTTAATTCTGCCTTTAGCTACTGTGAACAGAATCCAAATTTGCAGAGATGTTTCACAACTAAAGAGTAAAAAATTTCTCCACTGCTAGATTCAGCAACATTTAGTCGCCTTCTCCTCCACAGCAAGATTAAACAGACACAGCATCCACATAAAACAACCAAAATTTTAAGCAGACAGACGTCAACCAGGGCCTTCCGCTCCTGCTTAGTGCTCATTAAAGTACTCAGTTAACGCGTCCATGAGCTCCTGCTTCTTCCCCCCACCCTTCAGCCCGTAAAGCCTGCATGCATCCTTCAGAACAGGTACCGTCAGCTTGCCTAGAGTGCCCTTCCGCACATGACTCCGCAGTTCATCTTTTGAGAGTTCTACCTTGGGCCTCTTCTCCAGTTGACTATCAGAAGCTAGAAAGATAAATTTTAGATCACCAAGATTTTAAAAAGTTTCTTAATAGAAAGACATCAACGTTCCTTACACATACCACAGTTAACAGCCAGTAGCACAGGGTACTTTAACAGCTACCTACATACTCACAGACCTAGTTTCCACATTTTAAGAAGCACGTCACTCACTACGATAAGTCATGTAGTATTTCATCGATAGGAGTGTTCTGATGGAAACCCCTAAATGAAGCTTTTAAGGGATTCTCATCGAGACAGAAGAATGCAATGATTCGACAGGGAGCTCAGCTAACTGACACTCCCACTTCAAGCAGAGTTTCATAGACTGCCAAACTACACACTTACTTCAGCATTACTTAAACATTTAGCCCTAAAGATGCCCATTGCTAAACAGCCCATGCATAAAAGTCTGTTTCCTCACTAACACAAATGGAAAGCATAAATGATTTTACTACTCTGCCATAAAAAACAAAGTTATTAAAAAAATACGTATTTTGCAATCATTTAGCCACATTGCTTCATATACTTCACTATGCAGTTTCTCATTCCAGCAGTTCTCCAAATGGATACCACAATATCCTCTACTCCCTAAGAATCACCACTCGACATAAACCCACTTTGTTATGAAGATGAGTAAAGAGAGTCGTTTTACAGGCAGCTTCTTTAAACTATGAGACAAATTGAAAACAAAGAAGCTTCTAAACTGAATACAGACACCATGTTGTGTGTCTGCACCATCATTACTTACCTTGTTTTCGCTTTACAGCCTTCCCATCAGGATTGTAGTCAGGGGGATAAACCAGCTGCTTAAACTCCTCCACCAGGTTGCCCAGCCTGCGGTTCATCTCTTCAGCCTTTGGCACTGGCAAAAGAGAAAGATTTGCCTTCTCAAAAACAGAGCGATCACAGGGAAGTCTAAACAAGGCCATCACCAGATACAATTGTGCTTCTGTAATAACGAGCAGGCAAGCATCTTGCAAGCATGCAAAATACAAAGACCTATGTTATGATAGTCACAAATGAGAAATTCACAGCTCTTGGTAAAACCAAGAGTTTGTATTTTACATCTGTAATGGACTCGCACATATCCCTGAACAGGAAATACATATGCAGAACAAAACTGACACGGTGGAAGTGATGTAAAAGATCTCCTACCTGGTTGCACTGTTACCCAGGTCTAATCTCAGATATTTAAAATACAGCAGGTTACTATCTAAGGTTGCAAGTAGTTCGAGGCAGAACAGCTTGTTTCTGTCATGTATTTGTACGATATCTAGCACGGGGACCTAGATTATTTGTTAGGTATCACTTCAGGAGAGACAAATAACTACTCTAACACTATTCCTGGAGTACAACATAATTTTAAACAAGGAATTTCCCCTTCAGGAGTAGGTTTCTATCCTTTGACAAGGTATTCTTACAGAAAAACTCTCACAGCCACGAGGTGGCATCATCGCCTCCTAGCAGGATAATTCTCAAAGTAATTCTGCCCATTTATCAGGTACTGAAACATTGTAATTAGACTCTTGAAGAGAGGAATTTCACAGAAAACATTTGTCACCATAGAAAAAAGGTGATTCAATTTAATTCTGGAGGGTAAAGGGAACAATTTTTCCTTTATCGTAAAAGTGATAGCATTAGAAAGTAAGGTTTTAGTATTTCAGAATGGACACATCCA